GTTTTATGTTACTAGTATTTCCCCTTATCTCCCTACACATATTTATATATGAACAAAACGCCCCAACAAAAAGACAATGACTATCAGACTAAATTTAAAAACATGCTACTTTACAGTGCTTAAAGGAGTTACACATTAAATATAAGGATAGAAAATGTTTAAAAATAAAAGGCTAGGGGTGAGAGGATAGAGCAAGATGGCGCAATGGAACCCTCCAGCTGTCCTGCTCCTGACAGGAACACCCATTGGAGCCACCATCCATGCAAAAAAGCACCTTTGTGAGAACCAAAACTCAGGTGAGTGATCACAGTACCTGGTTTTAACAACATATCAAGGAAAGGGGCTCTGAAGATGACAGGAAAGACAGCTCTAAATTATCTATGCCACCCCACCTAGCTCCCAGCAGGGCAGGGGAGAGAGACTCTATGTGCCAGGGAAAGAAAGCAAAGTGACTATACTACACTACACAGGGCATCTGCCCACAGCAGGGATATTTAGACCAGTGCTGACCTGAGGGAATCCTCTGCCCTAGCAGTAGGAACCTGAGTCTCAGTGTTGGCTAGCTCCGCCACCAGCTGACAAAGGCAGGCAGGCAGGCAGGCCTCAGACTGCAGTCCTTGGGCAAGTCCTCACGCTGGTCTGGGAATCAGTGGACTTTGAGTGCACATGACCCAGTGAGACACAGCTGTAGCAGCCAAGGGCACCTGCATCACTCCTCCTCCTACACCAGACAGGGAAGCTGAGGATAGTGAAAGAGAGAGTACATGGGTCTTTTTCTTGCCACTTGGTTATCAGCTCAGCCACAGTAAAACAAAGCATCAGGCAGATTCCTGAAGCCCCAGATTCCAGGCCTCAGCTAACTGGATGCAATTCTAGACCCACTCAGCTGTAGTGGCCAGGGGAGTGCTCACAGCACCCTCTGCCAACTCCCAGCCTAAAAGGACATGGGGCCTGTGACCGTCCCCTTTCAGTTAGGGAATCAGTGACACAGCACCTAAGAGTTGGGTATCTGTGGTCAAGGTAGGGACTTGGCTGAAAATCCCTGGTTGCTATGGAGCCACAGGCATGTTTGAGAACTACTGTCTATCTAGGATTTTGTTTCTGGTAGTGAAGTCAAGTTGATGTATGGTTAATAAGTTTGGGAGACAAAAAATATGAAAGTGACCCTTCTGAGGATAATTACTTTTAACCTCAGGCAGCAGTTAGGAATGGACACCTTAAAGAGATTCTAAACCATAATATTGACAATTTCATATTAAAGGTTCATTAGTTTAGTTTAGTTTTTTTTTTTTTAAGTTTGAGAAAACCTCTTACTCTTAATTTCAGTTTAAAATGCCCACTCAAGTAACTAAAATATACTTGTGGCTATTATCAAGTTTAAAAACATTATTGGAGTATTTGTTTTACTTTTGTAAGTAAGTTGAAAATGTGGCATCAAGTAGTATTAAAAGGTCCCTTAGAAGTAACTGATGATATATGTAATACTTTAAAATAGAATAAGATTTCCAAGTCAAACTTTTTTAGGCTAAAGAGGCACTAGGTTTCTGGATTTATAATTTTAACAGAAAAAAAAAAAAAACTATCTAACCACCTCAAACACTTTACAAACAAGAGTCTGAGAAATATTTTATTTTTAACTTTTATTTTTATTGTTGACACTATTACAGATAGATAGAACAATCACAACCATATTAACAAACCAAAAACCTGTGCACAGAAACAAGATGAAGAAAATATATCAGGATGTTAACCACAGTCTTTGGACGATGAAAATATGGGTGAGTTTCTCTTCTACATTTCCGTAACTTCAGAGTTTCTATAATAATCACATACTTCATATCTTCATATATAATGGAAATATATGTAATAAAGGTGGACTACCGAAACACTATAATGAAGATCATTCAAGGAAACAGACAAAATAACCATAATCCCACAACCACACAACTATTTCTTAATTGTTTTCCAGCTTTCTTCCCATCTTTGACACTTATGCATATTTATCATTAACACTCTAATAATCATAGACTGGTGCACAGATCAAGATGTTGCTAACAGCAGTTGTTGTTGGATGTGGGGAATATGTGTGAACTTTCTCCTTCTACTTTACTGAATTTCCAAAGTTTTCTATGTGTATGTATTATATTTGTAATGGAAAAATACATACATAAAATTATTACTGAAATATGAAAGATTATTCAAGGAATTTGAGACAAAATATTTAACCATAATCCCACAATGACAATACTATTTTAGTTATTTTCCACATTTCTTTTCACATTAGACTTTATGCATACATATTTAACACTGTTATAATCACAAGCTTGTGCACTGAAATAGGATGGAGGAAATAGTTCAAGATGTTAGCAGTAGTGGCTGGGTGTTGGGAATATGGGAGAATTCTGTTCCTTTTCTAATTTACTGTTATTTTCCAATTTTTCCTTTGGGGATGTATTATGCTTGTAAACAGGGACATACATAATACATTTTGTTATCAGGACACTACTTTAAGGAACATTTGAAAAAATTAAGATGAATATATTTAAGCATAATTCCACAAAGGTAAGATAATAGCTATTTTGAATATAGATTTTGACACAGTTATACTCATAAACCTGCCTACAGAAATAAGAGTAAATAAGATACTAGAGAATGTATCTGTCTTTGGATGTTAGGGATGTGTTTTTTTTTTCCTCCACTTTTCTGTATTTTCCAAGCGTTTGATAATGAGTTCAAATTATGTTCACAATGAAAACATGATCAGTAATACTACCATAAAGAACAATCAAGGAATTTAAGAAAATAATGCTCCACTAAAAGCCTACAACAACAACAACAACAACAACACAACAGCTTTTGACTATAAGCGTACATTTTTAAACAGTTATAATTGTAGTATAAATATAATTTTGTGTCCTGCTCTCTCCACTAAATATTCTGTAAATATATTTCCACATTGCTACATAACTTATGATTATCACTTAAACAGCTGCATAAGAGTCCATAGATACTCATTTAATCATGCCCCTACTGTTTGCCATTTAAGTTGTTACTAGCTTTTCACTAACTTACAGTTGGAACAGACACCCTGACTTTGGCAATCTGCCTCCTGAAAAGAGTCTACTGAGAAACACTGCCAACAGAAACCAGCCAGCTAAGCTCACCCCAGCATCAAGGCCGAGTTCCTGAGACTCCCCTTCCCATACAGGGCCTCACTGCCCTTTGGTGTTCCATGTGTCCATTCCAACCTCAGGCCTTCCTATGCAGCTATCCCTCACCTACACCACACCATCAAAAAAGCGCCTCTCCAAACTGCCCAGGACACCACTCAATTCGTTCTGACCAAACTGGCCTTCCAGTCCCTGCCTCCATTTTCTTCTGTCTGTCTCCTCCTCCTCCTAGATCTGCTGACGTATTAGGGCTCCTTTCTTTGGCTTGTTCATTTCAGCTTCTTGTTCTTAGCTCTGCAACCTCCCAGGACTTTGGCATTACCTGCAGCTTTGACACACGAGCCCTAATCCCAATCTAGGAGAGTTAAGATTCAGACACATTTCCCCCAGTGGGTACTTAATGATCTGCACTTATCTTTTACTTACTTAATCTACAGATCTACTTTTTTTTTAAGTTTTTTTAAAATTTTAATTTTTTTTTTTCTAGCCAACTCAAGGCCAGAAAATTTCTTAAGATAGCCATTATGCGAGGGGAGGGGAAGCAAAAGAGCACAGATGGTCCACAGGACATGGGAAACCTCAACTTGGGAGTAAGAGGAAAACTAAGGGAAATCACACAAACAGGACATTCATGGACAGCTCAGAAATACTGAAGGCATGAAGAGAAGGAGCACATGGTAACAAAACAAATTAAGGCTGCTGGGGAACCTGAGTCCATGTTAAGCTTGGGTTGGACTGTAAAGAAAGCTTTTATTTTTTAAATGCAAGTTAAACATGGGGTTAGAGAGGGTAGAGAAGAGGAAAAATAGCAATGGAAAGATCTAAGGATATTAGCTCCTGGGCACCCAGGGTGCAAACTGGCTTGTGGTAGCACGCACTAACACACAGGGGACCCAAGCCACATTGCTACTTGTCACTTAAGGCAGGAAGCACACAAAGGAAGGGATAAAAGGTTGTTAGCCTGCATCCTTATTTACAGCATGAGAGCCTCTCCTCCAGTTCTCAACCTTCATTAGGCACTACCGTGATCTAGTGATGGTTGTAACCCATTCTTTAAAGGCAAAGACAAGATTTACAGGGAAAAGCTTAAGGTTTTAGGAATTCACTATCGAACACACATTAAGTTGGTTTTTTAAAAAAAACAACCAAACTTGTAATATTTGTGCATGAGAACCACAACAGTGTACATACAATGTGGCAACTGATCAATTTGGGTCACAAGAGGCCAATCTGTATATTGTAAAAGCTTACACAACATTAGGTTTCAAAGTTTTGGTGCAGACAAAATTGCTGCAAAAAGAAGCTAAAGGTACTTCTCTTTTAAGACAGCAAAGAGTAAAAGTCACGTTATCTTTCATGCCGACACTTTCACAAGACTATTTAACAGTAAGAAACAAAATATGATTACTCAAACAGATACTGACAGGGTTCAAATAATGCACAATAAATCTTTCTCAGGATCTAAGACACTTACAAATATACTGTAATTTGTTGCTCTCTCCCTCCTCCAAAAAAAGAAAAATCAAAAGAGTACCAAGTAAGGTACCTCAGCACAGTAAACTGTCACTGATATCACATTAAATCCAAATATATGTGATCACTGTTTTGCTATGATTTGCTATTATATATACATGTCAGGAAATAGCACATATAGTGTATAGGAGTGTCATTTACAACTGATTGGGGTAATCTTTGTAGACTTGAATACTTTGCGGGTTTTTCCCTTACTCTGGTTATTTGGATGAAAGGTCAGGTGTTTGCTGTGGCTGTCCCCCATGCAGACAGTGATGTCTGATGGGGAGACTAATACTGAAAAGGTATCTACATCCAGTCTCTTCTCAGTCTGAGCTGTTGGATTTTAAGTCGGATGTGTACATGTTAAGGTTAAGTTTGCTACTGGCACTATCAAAGGTTGGTCTGTATTTTCTGTAGTTTGGTTAAGAGTCAAGTCCGAGGGGAAGGCTTTCTAACCTGTACTCCCCTGCTCTCAGCCAGTATGAGTATTCTGGTGTCTGGCAAGGGACAGGAGGTCACTGAAGAGCTGCCCGCAGACATCACATTTGAAGTACTTCTCATCAGCCTGGTCGGCACCACCAGTGCTGGTGCTGGCACGTTCGATGTAGCCTGAGCACTCACCAAAGGCATTGGCAGGCTCAAAGATGATCATGCTGGCATGGGTTTTCAGGTGCTCACCGAAGGCGGCACTGGAACTAAATGTTTCTGGGCATTCATGGCAGTCATAGTATGGTTCTTCCACCTCAATCTCTTCTTCTTCATCTTCTTCTTCTGGGTCTTCAATCCCTGCGCCATCAGGTTCATCGGCATCTCCCTCTGGTTCTTCAGCTTTTCCCTCTGGCTCTTCAGCTCTTTCTTCTGGGTCTTCAATCCCTGCGCCATCCGGTTCATCAGCATCTCCAATTGGTTGTTCAGCCTCTGCATTTGGTTGCTCGGCCTCTCCACTTGGCTCTGCAGCCTCTCCATCTGGCCCTTCGGCCTCTCCATCAGGCTCAGCAGCCTCCACCTCTGGCTCGGCAGCTTCCATCTCTGGCTCAGCAGCCTCCACCTCTGGTTCAGCAGCCTCTGCATTTGACCCCTGAATGCGCAAAACTTGTGGAACAAGGACATTGGCTTCAACCTCCTGAGCTGCTGCTACTTCTTCTTCATCTTCTTCTTCTTCAAGATGAAGCTCCTTATGCTTAGTGAGGACTGTGGTATGAATAAAGGACTTGCCACAATCCTTGCACTCATAGAATGGTATAGCTCCTTTGAGGGGCTCAATAAGAAATGAGGTATGAGTATAGGAAGGCCCATACTCATAGGGTTCATTCTTATGAACACTTATATGATCTGCAAGTTCTGCAGCCTCAACGAAGGATTCTCCACAGACTGCACATTCAAAGAGTCTCTCTTCAGTTTGGCTTCTCTGATACTCAGTGAGGGCTAAGCCTGGAATGATAGCTTCCTCAACCATCTGGCTCTGCTCCAGTAACTCATCTTCCCTGTGAAGTCTCATATGCTCATTAAGGGCGGAGCTGTGAATGAAGCCTTGTCCACATAGAAGGCATCGGATGGCTGACCCAGCAAGTGCAGGATTCCTTTCTGCAGCACGATTCCTCCGTGGCTTCGTGGGCAAAAGGGCAATAAAACCATCATCACACGCCTTCATGGAATACAACTGGTCTTGTTCATGAATTCTCTGATGCTCAAAAAGGAATGAGCTATGAATAAAAGATTCCCCACACTTTGGGCATTCATACAGCTGCTCACCAGTGTATTCTCTCTGATAGTCGCTGATAGAATGGGTGTGAATTACAGAATGCGTGTACTCACGGCTATCAACGAGGCACTTCCTGCTGTGGACTTTCTGGTGGTCTGTGAGGTCTGTGAGATCCACAAAGCCCAGCCCACAGTCCTGACATTCATAGATTGTGTCATCCGGGTCTTCCTTCTGAGATTCATCCATGTCTGAACCCTGAATGACAGAGTCTTCAACCATCTCCTCATCCTGGGTCTCCTTGTCCTGGGTCTCCTCACCATGATTCATCTCACCATGGGCCTCCTCACCATGGGTCTCCTTGCCATGAGTCATCTCATCATGGGTCTCCTCACCATGAGTCATCTCACCAGGGGTCTCCTCTTCATGAGTCTCCTTGCCATTAGTCGTCTCACCATGCATCTCTTCACCATGAGTCATCTCACCATGGGTGTCCTCGCCCTGGGACTTCTCTTGAGTATAGTTTTTCTGATGTGTGTTGTGGTCTTCGCTGGTGGCAAACCATTGCCTGAACTCGTTATATCTGATACGTGCCTGTTCTTTTATATATTGCTCTTGGGCATAACTTGTCTGAGGGTCAGTAGGAGCCAAGCTGTGAATGACAGAATGCTCATAGTTTCTGCTTCCAGAGGGCTTCTCTCTATCATGAATCTTCTGGTGTTCAATGAGGTCATAGCTATATGCAAAGGACTCTCCACACTCCTGACATTCATAGACCTTCTCTCTGTGGTGAACTGTGTATCGTTCACCAAAAGGTAGAGGGTGAATTACAGAGGTTTCCTTGCCCCTACGCTCAATGTACTTCTTTTTAGCACGAGCCTTCTGGTATTCACGGACATTTGAGCTGGGAACAGAGAATTCACCATCCTTCTTCAATTCACCAGATCCCTCTCCAGTGAGACTTTTCTGAGGTTTGGCATGAGATACACTCTGGATAACAGAGTCCTCATGGCTGTTATTCTTACCCCCTTCATAAGGCTTCTCTCTGGCAGGAATCTTCTGTTGCTTATTAAGGTCTGAAATATAAGTGGAGGATTCTCCCTTCTCATTACATTCAACCAGTTCATTTCCATTGTGAATTTTCAGAGGTTTGGAAGCTGCCAAGCTATGAACAACGGACTTCTTGTATTCCATTCCTTCACAGGTATTTCCTCCAGCACAGACTTTCTGATAGTTAATAACATCAGAGCTCTGAATGGTAGATTCTGCAATCACTTTGAGTTTAAAGGGCCCTGCTGCGCTGTGACTATTCTGAGCTTCAGCAGAGGCTAAGCTATGAATAACAGATCTCTCCTGTGGTCTCCCCTCATAGACATTTTCTTTGATGAGAAAATTCTGGTTTTTATTAGGGTTAGAGCTGATGGTGAATGCCCTCTCCTCCTCCTCATTTTCAGGTGGTCTTGTTATAGTATGACTCTTCTGAGATTCAGTGAAGGGTACACTGTGAATGACAGATTTCTCGTATCCTCTGCCTTCAAAGAGGTTCTTTCGAGGATGAGTTTTCTGATGCTCATTGATGTCTGAGCTTTGCATAAAAGCATCCCTGCCATCATCAAAGTTGTAGAGCTTCTCCTTAGGGTAAGTTTTCTGACGCCTTTTTAGGGACTGACCAGGAATAAAGGTTTCCTCACACACTTTACCCTTATTTTCAAATGGGTTTCCTCTAGCATGGATTTTCTGATGTTCTTTCAGGGATGAGCTGTGAAGGAAGGTCTCCCCACACACCTTACATTCATAGACTTTCTCTTTACCATACATTTTCTGAAATTCGCTGAAGGTTGAGCTAGGCATAAAGGCTTGCTCACACTCGCGCTCACGTTCACGTTCACGCTGGCGCTCCCGTTCCCGCTGGCGCTCCCGTTCCCGCTGGCGCTCCCGTTCCCGCTGGCGCTCCCGCTCCCGCTGGCGCTCCCGCTCCCGCTGGCGCTCCCGTTCACGCTGGCGCTCATTATCTTTGTCATCACCAAAGTGGATTTTCTGGTGCTCAATCAGGGCAGAACTATGAAGGAAGGTTTCCTTACACACCCTGCACCGATAGAATTTATCTTTGCCATATATCTTCTGAAGCTCAGTGAAGGTTGGGCTAGGCATGAAGGTCTCCTCATACTCCTCATCCTTACATTCCATGAGATATTCTCTAGCATGAATTTTCCGGTGTTCAGCCAAGGCGGCGCTCTTATTAAAGGTTTCCCCGCACTCCTTACACTCAAAATGTTTCCCTCCAGTCTGACTTTTCTGAACCTCACTGACAGCCACACTGCGGATAAAGGACTCGCCATACTCATAGAGGTTCTCCCGCGTATGCATGATCTGGTGCTCAACAAACTCTGAGATGACACTGAATGACCTCCCACACTCATCACACACATATGGCATATCCCCAAAATTAACAACTGGCTGCGAGTCGGTGAAAGAGGGGGCGCTCAGGCTGCTCAGACTGCTCATGCTCATGGCTTTTCTCATTTCACTACTACATTCAAAGGGCTTCTTTCTGGCACAGCCTCTCTGATCATGGGTTGAATTATTCCCATCTGTGTCAAAATGATAGCGCCTCTTTCTTTCAAGAACTCTCTTTCTGGAAGCAAGATCTGAGTTAAACCTAGAGCCTCCCCTGAACGCATTCCTTTCACAAGCCCTCTCCTGGATCACTGAATCCCTCTTGTTTAACGAAACATCCTTCCAGTTATCATCTGATGTTCTGGGGAACCTCTGCGGCTGATCGCTTGCCTCCCTTGTTCTTCCTGATTTGGAGCTGCGTGACACATCAGTGACGAATTTGTCCATTATCACCCCATGGGAAGATTCATCTTCACAAATTCCCCGCCGGTGGGCTGACTTTTTGGCATCAGGCATAGTTTTCAGACCTGGAAAGAAACCCCAATATAAATACTCCCTAGTCCTTGTACTTGTATAAAATGACAGTGGGACTTGGAGGAGAGCACCTTTCTCTCATATGTAGGAATGGAAAGTGTAGAAGTTTTCGCAATAGGCATCTCATTGATTGTGTGGCTTCTCTGTAGGGTCTGCCTGCTGCTTACCTCGACTGGTGCTTGGGTAGGCACTTCTCTTGGACCTTGAGGAGTGGCCCTGTGTCATGTGGGAGTGGCCATCATCTTCAGCAAGCTGCACCCCTGGTCATAAGAACAATACGACGGCTCAAATTTGAGTTGAGGACCAAGACTCATCATCATACACTGATCTCCGTCTTTCTCTGTGTCACTAAACATGAAGTGGCTCATATCCGATTCTTTGGATGTCTTTCACTTGCTGTCTCATTTCCCTACCATCCATTCCTTAACACATTCTAATCTGCATTTTAATTAATTCTTCTCACTCCACCCAGAAATTTGTAAAAATACCCTGTGTGCCTGAATTCAGTGCATCCTTTTTTAGTCTTCACTTTCTCGTAAACAACTCTTAAGTCTTGATATCCTCTTTTTCACTGGCCTCCGTGGTCTTCCTCTTACCTCTTGACTGTTCTCTCTCCACCTGCTCTCCAAACACTGGAGCTCCTCGATGCCCCATGGCCTCACAGACCTACCCAGCCCACTGCCTAGCACCACTTGGGCTAGATGCCTTCCAGGAAGAGTCTGCACGAGAACTGCGGGTCCCACTCTAATGTACGTTGAAGCTTTCCAGCACCAGCGCTCTAGCAAACATGTTGCCCCCTCCACCCTTGTACAATATATTCTTCACAAAAAGCAGAAGGATTTCTTAAAAACACAAATCTCACCATTTACTCCCCTGTTTGAAATCTTTCAAAGGTGTCTTATTACCCTTCAAGTCCAAATATATTAACATGGACTCTTAGCGATTGCAGCTTGAAAAGAGCAAGGTGACAAAATGTGCCAGCGACTGGACAGGGAGCTGCTTACCTAGCGAGAGCAGCTTCCTGTAGTTCTCCATGTTGTCTTGGATTGTGTTGTGAGGCTTCCTGTCCTCAGCAGGGTCTGTGACATTTTGGTACGATTCAGCATCCTAAAATAGCAAATACACATCTTTCAATGGAGTCTGTCCCCATGGACATCCAAAGAGAGAAGAATAATGTTGGCGACATGGGTGCTACATATATGAAGTTATATAGGAAGTGCTCACGGAACTTGGGGTTCTGAGTGATCCAAGCCAAGTGTTACTAGGGGCCTACGTCGTACCTACCTTGGTGCTACACTCTGAGGCAGATCCGAAAGACGCATGACACATATTCCTTGCCCTCATGCAGCTTATAATTTGGTTGGAGAGAAAAGACTCATGAAACAATTAGAGAACAATAAACAATAAATTGGGGTATAGATAATAAGTGCTAAAGTTTTATAAAGGGATAGTTCAGGGTGGGCCTGAACAGTGAGCAAAGGTTTTACAGAGGGCTTTAGGTAGGGGCTTAAATGGTGGGTGAGATTATGATACAACAGAAAGGGATTGGTGGGAAAGCTCCAATGGGCTAAGTTCAAGCATGGGTAGTGTACTTGGGGAACAGAAAGGAGATATACTCAGCAGACACCTGCTCAGGACTTAAAGCTCCCTTCCTGTTCCTCCACTGCATAGCAGGGCTACACTGCCATCACTTACAGTTTGTAGAATTTCCAAATAACCCAGGAGCAACTGGTAGCACTGAGGGCCTTTATTTTATAATTGCCTTTGCTATTTTAGGGGACATTTACCTAAGAAGGAATTTGAGAATCCCCTAAATTACTCAGACAAATCTTTCTATTCAGTATCTTAAAGCATCTTTGCTTTTGGCCAGCTGGCTACACTAAAACATCACTAGGTTTGGTGAGTCATGGTCCTGGAGGCCCAGAGAGAGATTGGACAGGGAGATGGTGCTGGGGGAAGCCCAGGGGCTTTGGAGCTGGAGAGAACCCTGGGTCAAAGGAGAGTCACATCATTTGTGAACTGTGAAACCTCGGGGAACAGAAATCTCCCTGAGCCTCAGGGTCTTCATCTCTAAAATGGGAGAAGAGCATCCACCTGCCTTGTAAGGGTGAAGATTTTTTACAATGTGATGTGTTTTATAAAGAAAATATAGAAGTTTTGGTATTAAGTTCAATGGAGTTCTACTGGTAGGAAGAGGCATGAGTGTTATAACAACATGAAAAATGTGAGAAAAGAGGGATTGCAGACCAAGGTGCATCACCTACTGAGAAAGAGGAAGAGACACAATCATCAGGGTCTGAATGAAAAGCCTATTTACCCAGCTGCCAGTGTCCAGACATCAAAAAGAAAACATAACAACAAAAATTAAACAGGGCAAGGAAACGAAGAAGAGCTTCAAAAATGTAACTCTTTCTCAAATAAAAAAAAAAAAAAAAGATGCTCACTGTGTGCTTGAAATTGACAAAGAGCATCTGCATGTACACAGCTGCCATGAAGTTCACCTGGAAAAGCCACTATGCTGAGAATAAGATGGCACAATTTAATTGCACAACATGACCTATTCACATGAACTACTAAGAAATTTGTACATGACGCTAAGGGATGAGAGGATTTTCTCTTTTGTAATTCAGAGTGTAATTTACACCAACTGATGCTGCTGTTTCTACTATACTGAGTCAATAGAAATCAATGGGCTCCAGATTCTGGACTATGCTGCCACTCTGCATGTTGTCAAAGAAGGGCACTTAAAAAGCAAAACAAGGCCAAGTCCAGCTATCAGGACAGCAGTGACCAGGCCCACCCATGCCTCTTGCCTATCTACCCTCCTCCTTGGTGCCCCAGGGCCTGATCTGTGCTCCTCCTGATGCCCTGGGTCCCATCTCCTCAGCACCTTGCCCGGCCTTCTCATCCTCCACTTATGACATGTCAAGTGTTACTGCCTCAAAGACATTTTCCTTCAATGTAAATCAAGACCCTGTTAGAATTCCTTGTTATCCTATTTTTCCTTCACCACACTGAGAATGATTAGCAGTTATACATATTTATGTGAGTATTTATGTGTGCGAATGTCAAATGTTTCTTGGGGCAGAGCCCCACTTGTCTTGGTCATTGCTCTGCCCTCAAGGACATGGCCTCCTCTTTGACCCAGTCTCTGTGAAAGGGGCGGCTCAGCTCACCAGCTCCTCTTCCTCAAAGTCTAGTTGGTACTCAAACCCTCCTCACATCCCACCATGTCTATGTGACCCCTCTCCTCTAAGGGCTGTCTCCAATTCCAGGTCCTTTTCCCCTTCACAATCTCTGCCTGTGCACCCACTCCTGCCATAGCATTAACTCTGATGGTGTGCCCACCACATGCCAAGTAGGCACTTTATATGTGCATGTGAGTGACTCTCACTGGTTTCTCACAGCAGCCCTGGAGAAATTGCCATGCCCATTTTACAGATGAGGAAACTGAGGTTCAGCTTAGGTGAGTAAATGGCCCAAGGCCATGCAGCCAGCAGATGACAGAGCCAGGCTTCAAATCCAGCTCTCATCAGCTCCAAAGCCTCTGCTCTCCCTGGTCAGTTTTCTCCGTGGACCTGTGGCTTCCCTTGCTCCCTCCTGGGAACCAAAAACATCTCCAGAGTTGCTCTGTCCTAGCCCAAAGTGAACAGCTCATGTGACCAACGTACCAAGGGACACACACTAGGGGGGCAAGAGTGTCTCTGACTATATGGATGAATCAGAGACCTGGGCCTCTTGTCACCTGTAGTGGTGAGCCCAGGCTCCTCAGGGAGTGAAAGGGACTCTCAAAGGAAACTGGGGGTGGATGAACACACCATCTGGGGAAAGAAAGGCATCTTTGCCATGAAATGAAGATGGCCTTTCTGGAAAGAGGAAACCTAAGCATACCTGAGATCGGGACTCATAATCCATTGAGTCCCTGTCATCATCTCTTTCCATTTCAAAAGTTGTTTTTGCCATCACAGGAAGGGAAAGATCACGTTGAGGCAGCCCTGGAAAGAGAAGAGAAATGAGGAAGGAGTCAGGCCCAGCCTAAGCTAGCAGATCCCCGGTCTGTCCCAGCTAGCTCTGCACCCACCTAGGGGTGAGTGTGTGCACAAGTGTGACTCTCTGCACTCTGTGGCAGGCTCTGAAGAGCCCCATAAACATCCTATAAGCAGGGCGGGCCACGGACAGCACTTTATCACTCTGATCCCAACCCTAGGCAGCTCAGACCACACCCTGAGCTGTGTGCATCTAGACGTGGTACCCAGCAGCCCTGTCCTCTGGTTGCTGGGTCTCCTCAGCTGTGATATGACACAGAGATGGCATCAGTGGTGCCATACTATAGGGTCACTGCTCTGAATAGTACCTAAGGTGTCATGAGCCATCACTAGATGTCACTTTTTAAAAAATTTTTAATTATTTTCTCTTTTTCCACAGATGTTTTGAAGAGGAACAGATATGACTCTTGATAATCTTTTCTTGATCACAATTGTGTGGGTACCCCACTTCCCCTCTGTGGTGTCCTGCAATGGCAGGGACTCTGACAATAAGCCCTCCTCTCAGCAGCAAGAAAGTCCTGGCCTGTGCTGGGGATGATGTGTCCCAGGGAATCCTATGGAGGCTATGGAAGGTCTCCTGCTCAGTTAACACTGTTTTAATGTATCTGTTGGTCATTGTGCCTTAGGTTTACATTTTTCTGGCACTGCAGTCTTTTATGTAGAAACTGCTAGTTTTAAAAACATGCCAGCTTAAGAATGCACAGGGCAGATGGTGGGACGGTCTTGAGTGGTGCGTGGGGTAAAGATCTGAAGGCGCAGCTGCTAACTGGGAACAGAAGCCTTGGGCAGCTGGGGGCCAGGATCAGAACACACTGTCCCCTGCCACACACACATACCATGCACATAGCATAGGTTGTAGCGCAGCCAGTATACACTTACTGCTTCTAGGGCTCCTGCTGTATGACCAGCGATCTCGCGGCCCCATATCTCTTCTTCGGCCCCTCCTATCCAAGTTCTGGTCACGATCCTGGTCACCTGAGCAGATGAGACATCAGAGGTGTGAACAAGGGGCTCTGCTGTGCCCACCCCTTCCTTACTCTTCCTTCCAGGAGACAGATTCAAACCCTGCTTAGTCTGGCCCTATCCTTACCCAAACCTGCAACTTGGTTCCAGGGCATCATCCCATGGGGCTTGCTCTGAGGCAAGTTCCAAAGCTCAGTCAAGGCCAGCTCTCCCTCTGGACCCCTGCTGGTTTCCCAGAACCCAAGGCACTAAGTCCATGCTCAGACAGTGGCAGACCCCTGTATCTGCTCCTGCTGATCTCAGAGCACACATAATAGCTTAGAAGAGCTAAGCCCACACTTTCCTTGAATGTAATGCTCCTTGAAAAAGTTCACTGTATCCTTAATGCCCCCCAGGAGGCTTGGGGCACAGCCTGCTGCAAATTCCAAATAGCTGAGAAGACTTTCATGCTTAATAAAACCCTGTATTTTGTTCCATTTATTGCTATCTGTTTACATATAAAAGTATCTCATACGTCATCCATTAATTTGCTCCCATCAGTGAGTGATGCCAACCACTCCAGGGACAGCGTGTCATCTCCACAGAGACCTTGCCCCCCCCACAGGTGGTGCAACTGGGAGGGCTGGCTACTCACTGCTGAAAGAATGGCCTGCACGAGGTGGGGGTGTCTCTCCCCCATCTTGGCTCATGTCCTCGTCACTGGTCATGTCACTGTTGGTGTCGTCTGAGGGGATGAGACACCAACTTAATCCTTTGTCACATCTAGCCTGTATTGTCACACCAGTTTCCCTCCACCCCTCAAATACACAAGCAGCCAGAGTGACCTGATCTTGTCATTTCTCAGATCAAAACCCATCAGTGGCTTCTGACTACTCCTGCCACTTAAAGACTGGATGGAAAGCATGACTGCAACCACCCCTCCAGAAGTCTCCCTCCCTCAGACACGAGCAGCCAGCAGGCAACTTCCTGGGTCAGAAAAGGTTCTCTTCCTTCCATGGAAGTGGCTCCGCTCCTTCTCTGACTCAGAGTCATGGAATCACCACCATGGTTCTCAGCTACCAGGGGACACTTGGCCATGTGTGGAGATGGTTTGGTGGTCACATCCAGTGGAAGGGAGAAGGCCACAATGTGGCTCAACATCCACAGTGTACAAGATGGTGTTGTACCCCACCCCATGACCAAGGCGGCTCTAGCTCAATGTCTGTCCATAGTGCCAAGGCTGAGACCCCACAGGAGTGTCTGCTGCCCACGCCAACCTCCATCCCTCCTCTGGAGAGTCTCACCTTCTGGCCGGTACATCTCCTTGTAATTCTCCAGCAGAGTGACGAGTTTCTCGCAGTTCTCTGGCTTTTTTGCTCGCACCCAAGGCTTGAGCTTGTCAGGGATGATGGTCAGGAACTGCTCAAGGACCAAGAGTTCGATGATCTCCTCCTTGGTGCGAGTCTCCGGCTGCAACCAATTGAGGCAGAGGTTTCGGAGTTTGATCAGGGTCTTCTGAGGCCCAACAAATTCCACATAGATTAAGTTCCGAAACCTCTGATGAAAGAACTCAGAGTCAGTTGGGCCTTCTCCTATGATGACATCCGGCTCTTTAGTCAAGTCATTGTCTAGCTCATACAGATTTGGGGCCCAGGACTTCTTAGGTTTGGTGGCAGACAAGTGCTTTGGAGGCAGCATTTCTCTAAGTAAAATTTTCACTGGAGGAACCCAACATGAGTCAACGGGAAAGACGCAGCAGCCTGTGACAGTCAGTACTCAGGGACCTGTGGATCGTAAGGAGATATATATACACATGTCCCAGAAGGTGAGGACCAGGCAGCAGTGCAGGACAACCCCACTGGGACTTTGGCAATGCTGTGGGTATGGAGGCCCTGGTTAGTAGACACACACGCACACCACCATGGGAATCTGGCCTCAGCACAGCAGTTATGATGAGACCCTCCCACCCCTGCTTTGCACAGACCTGTGCCTGGAATTAGCGCTGCTACCAACTGTTATGTAATCCTGGGCAATATCTCTAATACGCTGGCGCCTGTCTCTGTACTATGTGAAATGAGGAGACTACCTATATCCCTTTATAAAATAAGAAGGCTTAAATAAGCTAATATCCTAAAAAAGGCTTACCTAACACAAGGTATATGAAAAATGCTCAAGGCCCCAGCCATCACTAAATCAGATGTCAATTTTTCTTAGCATAATGGAAAGGGAGAGCTAGGTAGGGATGGAGGCAAATTTTGCCATCTCTAGGCATTTCCTCCTTTAACACAGTCACAAGAACACAGACTACAACATGTAAATGATGATAAACCACTCAGAAATGTTACAAGTACTCAATTCTGATGGCAAGTGATTGCGTTTTCTCTTCACTGATAAATTTCTCTGTATTTGTGCTGCTGCATAATATAGCTGTTGGCCATACCTGGCTATTTCATTAAAACTCAACAAATTAAAAATTTAGATTCTCATTTGCATACTTCAAATGCTCTGTAGGCACAAGTGCCCAGTGGTTGCCCCGCTGGATAGTAAGGAGCACATCGTTCATCCTAGAGCCTCCACTGTGTACTTGAGTTCACAGGGAGGCTTAGGACCACACTCACAGCACACAGTTGGCCACTGGACCATTTCCTCTCTATCCTCCTTGAGGAGGACTAAGAAACAACAGAGAGGACAACACAGATAATACTATGCTTGGTAGAATAGTCCCAGCAAGGGAAGACTGCAGGTCAGAGACCAGGCGCCAGAGGACTGTGTGACACTTCAGACTCCAGGACGTGGTCACTCTCACCCAAGACAGGCCAAGGTCAGAATGCTGTCTCTGTGAATGAGGCAGGCAAGGGCAGAGGGCCCAGTCCTGCCCAGCTGCATCCAGGCTCAGACCACTCTGGGATCTGAAATGATGTTGGGCCCCATTCTTGGGCAATGGGACGCCCTCAGGCATGTAATCACCTGTGTGGGAATAGGGTCCTTCCTGGGACTTCAGACCAAGCAGCCCTCCACAGGAACAGTGTCAAAACGCAGGCACCTACAGATGTTTTAAAGAAAGAAATATGTGGACGAAGAAACATGGAAGAAATGTACAAGGAGTGTCAGAGAATTAACTCCCTACTGTTTAGTGTTAAGGTCTAGAAAGAGCACTCCCGTGCCATATAAACTATGCCAGAGATGAGGAACAGAAAACTTTCCAATTGTCTTTATGGAACCGGAACAATTCAAAAACTCAAGAAAGATAGTACTAACCCACCATGGACCAAACTTGCTTATGAAAGCAGAAATAAAAGTCAAGGTTGCTATTACTGAACACTGTTCCACAGAGTCTAGCTTCTTACAAGATAAGACAAACCAACCCAAGGTGCAAAGACAAAAAGATATAAATTATCACTCTCACGTAAAATTTGTATGTGTATGTTTCAATACTATGTGAATTTGTCTCTCTAATAGACACATATTTGAAGCATAAAGCACCACTTGGTGAGAACTATGTAGTAGAATGATAGGCTTAAAAAGTTTAATAGGAAATCAACAATTTTTAAAAGAAAATGTAAATAGCCAAACCTGACTAAGGAAGTAGAGAAAAATACGACCACCAAAGAAGAAATCTAAAAAGTTGAAATAATTTTAGGAGCAATTTCCCAAATAGGAGCTTTCCATGAACAAAGTATTTACCATGTTATAAAAAAAAATTTCCAGAACACAGAAAAGAGATGAAAGATTTCCTGCTCATTACTAATGTGACCACTTGAATGTCTGTATCTTACCACAAGGCGGATGCCAACTTCCGTGCCAAAAAAAACAAAAACTCACACTTGTTTCTTCCAGAAATTCAAGACAAGAGTAAACAAATACAATCTTCATTTAACATGCTCAAGATTTTCTTACCAGGCCAACAGAACAGACTTTGGTCAACAAGAGCATTGAAAAATGAAAGATTTTTTTTCAATTTCCAGGGAGTTCAAGCTGGGAGGAGAGGGGAAGGATGGGATTAGTGAGCTCCCACCTAATGAGCACAACATAAGGGTATATGGCACACCTCTTTGGTGTGGGATAGAACTACAAGAGGGACTCTACTTATAATGTAAACATTATAACCTAATTTTTGTACCCTCATATTAATCTGAAATTTTTAAAAAAAGGAAAAAGAAAAATGAAAGATTCTTAACAGAAAACCTTAAAAAAAAAAATCAGATCTTAGCTACTCCTTCCCACCACAGCAGAGGAAACTCATTTGAGAATGAAGGAACAGCTTTGAGACCAGAATAATCATAAAGATGAACAATACAGGGTGGCTATAAAGTTCGTGTGCAATTTAAAATAGTGTGTAATTTAAAGTTGCACACGGACTTTATGGCCACCCTGTATGTACGTCTGTGTGCATGTGAAGAGAGAGGCACACTCGTCTACGGCTTGCGGCAATGTAAAATTTTATACAATCAAAAATGCACATATCCTTTCCTATAAATTCCATATATGTGAACTTATCACCCAGCTATGTAATGGTTTGTGTGCAAGAATGTATTCACGTAAGTGCTGTTGATTATGGACAAGATACAACATATTCCTATCACAGATTATTACAAAACCTTTTAAATAACATAGCAATTCTAAATAAATGGATATGAAATGACCTTTAAGATAGTTAAGTGCAAAACAGATGCAATGACGTGTATAGCACTCTAAGAAACTATGAAAACAGATACGTTGACACAGAGAGTTTTAGGAGGACACATAAGAGACTGTTAATGGCACCTGATGGCGACTGCTTCTGGGGAAGGGAGCTGGAGGCCAGGGAAGGAAAGGCAACTTACTTTTTCATTGTATATTCTCCTTTTGTTTTTTGTTTTTATTTTTTTACCATGAGCATGTATTACCTAGTCAAAAAAATAAATTCAAAGTTAAAACAAAACAATAAACAAAAGCACTAGCAGAGGCCTTCAGAGGCTATGCTTGCCCGAAGGGTGGGCACAGGCAGGACTAACAGCTTCACATCAATGCTGGGCCCAAGCTCGCCTCCATTCCCCTGCTTCCCCGATCCCAGCTGGGTCCAGGGTCATTTCCTAACCTGGACATTTGTAAATGACTTGATAGTCAATTTAGAAAACCCTGACCTGGAAACCTCTGTGACCCAACATATACTTATGGAAACTGCAGTTGCAATTTGAATATACCCTTCAATTACACCCAGCAATTACTAGTACTTAAATATAATGCCAGTTTCCCTTCTGAAATCACACTCACAGAGCTATCAGCCTCGGTACACAAAAATGAAGAGTTAAAAAGTGTGTAAATGTGTTTGCAGAAGCACTGTGTACAATGGCAGAGAGGGAGGGAGAGAGTGCTAAAGCAAAAAATCAACAGCAGAGCTTGCTGAAAAGACCCCCATATGGAGGATAGGAAAATACAGATTGTTCCAAATGTTCTGCACTATAAAAATCAACCAAAATAAAAACAAACCAGCAACAGAAGGGGAAAAGTATTTTGCAACATAAAAGACAGTATTTCAAAGGTACATTAAAACATTAAAAAAAATCTTAACATTAAAAAAAGGTAGCCTAACATGAAAATAAAAAACATGAATACACAGAGATCATAAAATTGGCATAATAAAAGCCAAGTTATGTTTCAGAAATCAAAGAAACATGAAATATTACAATGAACATTTTTTTTGATGTCAAATGGGCAAATAACTAAAAGATAAAAATCTACACTGGTGAGGGTGTGAAGAAGCTGGCTGGTGCAAGCATGAGCTATATTTCCGAATGTCATTTTAGCCTTTGTTTAAAGACATTAAAAAAATACCTATCACTTTTGAACCAGCCAGTCTCCTTTTAAGGACAAAGATAGCCAAGTAGATGAAATACTAATTAAAAAAAAAAAAAACCGCTAAAGTCAGCTAGCTGTACGCTATGGTTAAATCCTGGCATATACGTCTAATTTCTGGTATGTAAAAGGTAAAAGTTGGAGCACTGAACAATGATGGCAGGTAAAGGAACTGTATGTGAAGGAAATGGGGAGAAGTGAGCACCAGGGAGAGAGGGCTCTATTGTGTGTTGCTGCTGTGTAACCATTACCACAGGTCATGTTGCAGCAACCCAGAGCTAAAGCCAGGGACAGTTAAGTGTGGTCCACACCCCCTGCTGGGCTACCTGTCACCAAATGTGCCATACATGATGAGATCGGCTGTCTTCCTGGCCAGGTTACCTACCCCTACTTGGTTCACCCTGTCCTCCACTTGCAGCCCAAAAGGCAACCAGCAGAGCCAGACATAAAATAAGCCCCAAATAAACAAAGATAAATGTATCCCACCAAAAATATCCTCTTGTTAAGGTGGGGAGCTTAGACAAACAGGTAATGCAATTCTTCTAGAACAAATGCACATGATATCCAGACAACTCTTCATAACGTCTATGAGGTAGGGGGTGCTTTGTCTATAAAGTGGCCTAAATTACATGAAAACGAAGTGTTGTTTCCAACGTGAGGACACAGGTAGGAGGGCATGTACGCCCCTGGACTAACAGCATCTAGAAATCAATTTGTTTGGAAGTATTCAAATACATGGAACTTAGTTATGATAAAGGTTTTATATCAGGAAAAGGATTCATTATTTACATACAAACTAGGAAATTTCTTAGGACTAAATGATAACATATAGGGACAAGACAGGACAGCTAACACTTCCATGT